GCTTACATTATGTATACATATAGTGTGTCAAGTGTATCCTGTCTCTATAGCTCTTCCTCGTTTTACCGTCTATTTTAAACAGATAGAACGTCTTCGAATCACCAAAGTTAATTTATTCTTTAGGCCTATTCAGATGCAAGTTGTAGCAGACGTTCATGAACAACATACACAAGAGCAGTCACAAAAACACGCTATAATGCGAAAAATATTAAATAATGCTGAACGCCAAAAACGATTTCGTGCTAAAAAAGGAGCATTAAGTAATAGATCAACTCAAAGTGGCGTTCATCAACCACGAACTAATGCTGAACGTCAAAGATTATACAAAGCAAATAAGAAATTACGACACAAAATACAGAAACTCAAGAAGAAGAGTTTACATAAACCTAAGAAGAGCAATATGTACAACATCTCGTTAAAGAATGTTAAATGTTGCAAATAAAAAATATGTTTTACGTTCAAAAGGAAATTAAATTAAATTTTACCTATTCCTGATCCATTTATAAATTATTAGCCTAAACAAGAATATTAAAATTATAAAATAAAATAATTATTGCCATCATGCCTTAAACAAGTTCAATATTTTATGGCTTCTATTAATTTATGAAGTTATCACTTCTGTCGAGCGTCCCGTGACGAACACCAAATTTTTGAAATACCCAACAAGAAGTTTGTAAAAAAAATGAATCTGCCTCAACAATATAGAACTTATCAACACTAGTATTGTAATAAAAACACGTAGTACAAAAGAATATATTTTTTGAATTAAATAATTCATTTTACTAAACGAAAGTGGATTAAATATATTTAAATTATCTAAAATAACTTTATAAATAGTGAATAAAACATTTATAACGTAGTGCAATAATTCAATAATGAAATGGATATTCACGTAGAATAATAGAAGAGAGTTTTTCTTCTATTATGCGATAGATATAGATATTTCTTCTATTAGCAAGCGAATCTATAATTAACTCTAAACCTATTTTTTGCAATATCTTTTTCAACATGTAAAATGCCCAAGTCAGTAAGCCTGTCCTGACTCATAGTTGTTTTTAATTAATTCTTAATTCTGTTTAAAGTGCTCAGAGATCTTTCACAACTTGCACTGGAAGATCGGTACTGTCATTGAAATGAGTCATTGTCATGTCATTGAGATGGGTACTGTCATAGTTTGTTTGTTTCATTGAAAAGTAAACTAAAATCTTTCAAAAGAAGTGCGAGATCTGTTGAAGTTGAAGTTTATTTTTAATGGTATCTGGTATCAATAACTTTGTCTCGTTTTCAATTGAAACTATATGACATTGGTAACTGTTAGCTAAAGGAAATAAATGTTCTAAGTTTAAAAAGATGGTGCTAGATAGATTAAATGTACTAAATCTCTTTAGTGCATTAGTATTGTCATCAAATCTGCGATATTTCGGAAGTAATTCGATCTATTATAGAAAAATATAATCTGGTTTAAATTTTTTTTTTCAGTTACACATCTGTATTTTTCAAGAAATT